AAGGGAGTTGCTGTAGTGTCTGGTACTAAGACACAAGGCTGTAACTGCTTTCAAAGCAAAGTCTCAGTGACTGTGATTGGTTTTAAGAGGCAAAGCTGCCCTGGGACACAGCACAAACCTGAGTGATACTGGTTGATGCTAAGAGGATTGTGATTGTTTCTGCCAGATGGTTGGAATTGGTCCCCAAATCCATTTTATACTGTATAATCAGGTTGTTCAGACTTGGCTGGAAGAAGCTCTCCTGTACTGTGTGACCTGGTGTTGCAGCCTTAGACACCAGAAAAGGTTTCTCTTGCTTTGTCTTTCCTTACCAGTTTCAGTAGTGTTGCTGATGGGATGGAGAAAACACTAGCAGAACCAAGTAAGGTGGGTCTCACTTGGAACCACGGCTATCAGCAAGGTAAGCATCATGGTCATGTTTAAATGCTCACCTGGGCTATGTGAGGTTGTGTCTCAAAGAAGGAGCATGAGACAGATGTGGGCAAGGAACAGGGAGACAGGGACAGGCAGAGAGAGGACAGTGGATTGGCAGTGACAGTGGGGAAGGAAGACCAAGTAGAAGAAGCATCAAATCAACCAGCTGTCTCACAGCTGAAGAGCAACAGCTGAAAAATCTGAGGGGACCAGGAAAGAAAGAAGGGCAGGGGAAATAGAAAGGGATCAAGAGAGCAAGGAGGGTTGATACAGAAAGAGAAGAGGTGTAAGGTGACAGGAAAGATAACATGAAAGTCCTAGTGGGTGGAGGGTTCCACTGGGCTATCTATATATTTCAGGGTCAAGGATATTTCTATTATTTATTTATTTATATGTTCATTCATTCATTAATTTTACATACCAACCACAGTTTCCCCACCCTCCTCTCCTTCTCTTTTTCTCTCCCACCCCATCTACTCCCCTCACCTATTTTTGTCCTTGTATGTTAAGAAAGGTGCAGGCCTCCAAAGGGAATCAATAAAGCCTGGCACATCAACTTGAGACAGGACCAAGCTCCTCCCCCTGCCTCAAGGCTGGATAGGGCAACCAGCATGGAGACAGGTTCCAGAGGGCCAGGGGCTGCATCAGGTACAGGTTTGATCCCATTGCTAGGGGTCCCGCAAATAGACCAGGCTACATTCTCACAAACATGAGGGGGCCTAGGTCAGTCCCATGCAGGCTCCCCAGCTACAGCTCCAGAGTCCTTGAGCTCCCACCAGCTCAGCTGTGCTGTCTCTGTGAGTGACCTTGACCAAAGTGGCTTGAGCAATCCCTCCTCTCTCTCTTCAACAGGACTCCTGGAGCTCGGTCCAGTTCTTGGTTGTGGGGAGGGTCAAGAGTCTTAGAAGCTGAGGCTCAGACGTGCAATGCCATGTTGTATTAAGGGTTAAGTAGCACTGAGCCCTGGACCTACAGAAGAGCTGTACCAGTGGTTACTATTAGGGATGGAGGAGCCGTGGTACTTGGACTGCCTTGAAGCTGTGGTCCAAGTTGGAACAAAGAACTGAGCAATATGAACGTTGCAGGACCACAAGTTCTGTAATACTTAAAGGGCTGAGGGACCTGTTTCTATACCAATGTGCATACAGTCACGGCTGGCAGCTGTCAAGTGCAGTGGGAAGGAGAATCTGACATGTAACAGAATATGAAGGCCTCCCATCTACCCACAGTGATTTCTATGCAGGTGAAGCAAATGGCATCCAGCCAGCTGATTAGTAGCATCACCACTGTTTGATCAGTGTGCAAACTCTGAGCACAAACACTGCAAGGGATTTACTTACATGTGAAAATGTATAAGAATAAAAGGTTTACAACTGTGTTCTTTAACGTGGATAGTAACGCAAAAGAAAGGAGTGACATGTGTGTGTATTTCTGGGGAATATAAATGAGAGAAACTAAACACACCCACGATCATAAAGAGACTTAAGAACTAAGAAGAACAGAGAGATTGACCCCATTACTGATACTCAGATCCCATTACTAAATTGCCAGACTTTCTTAACTTTTCTGTGTCAGACGATTTTTTAAGAAATAATCAAACGTTTTTATACTATGAGGAGAAAAACCCCAAACAAACAAATAGTTCATCTCATCTTTATTATATATTTTAAGACATATTGAAGCCGGCCCTGGCAAATGCCTCTAATCCCAGCACTGAGGAGGTAGAGGTCGGGAGATCTGTATGATTTTGAAGGCAGCCTGGTCTACGAAGTGATTTCCAGGACAGACAAGGCTATTTCTCAGAGAAAGCCTGACTCAAGAAACAAAATCATAAACAATTATTTTAAAAAGGTATATTGATTCCAGAAAAATCAGCAAATCCTCTTGAGGTTCTGGGTCTCATTAATAATGTGATTTTAAAATACTAAATGAATATTTGATGA